AGGTATACTTGTTTTGCCTTCTCAACGCACTTTAAGAGACTATAGAAACTACATCAAACCACAAAGGGGTTTTAATAGTCAATATGTTCAGGAGCTTGCTAAATTAGTTTCAAACTTTTCAGCACTTGAACAATACATTATACTTTCTTTTGATGAAATGAAATTTCCAAATGACCTTGTGTGGGATAAGCACACAGGTGATTTAATTGGTTTTGTTGATCTTGGTGATGATGATCTTACTCAGGCAACTTTTGAAAAAACTGATACTTTAGCTTCACATATTTTAGTTTTTTTTATTAGAAGTGCAACGAATCCCTTATCTTATGCTTTTGCAAGTTTTGCTACTGATAGTATTATGTCATTCCAGATTTTTCCAATATTTTGGCGTGCTGTTGCAATATTAGAAAGAACATGTAAATTAAAAGTTATAGCTGTGACTTGCGATGGAGCTTCACCAAATCATGCATTTTATAAAATGCATATGAATAATGACAACAAATCAAATGGTATAACATATCGCACAAAAAATATTTATGCAGATGATGAACGATATATATGGTTTTTTTCTGATCCTCCTCATCTTATCAAAACATCAAGAAACTGTTTGAGCAACTCTGGATCTAACCGTTGTTCAATATTTATTTGAAATAATGGAAAATATCTTCTCTGGAGTCATATTGCTAAGTTTTACTATGAAGATATGGAATGTAATTTAAATTATTTTCCTAAACTAACTCGAGACCATATAGTATTAAATGTTATGAACGTAAAATTATGAAATTATGAACTCTGTTATGAACGTAAAATTAGCAGTTCAAATTTTAAGTACTACAGTTGGCAATACATTGCTTGAATTTGGGCCAGATGAAGCTTCTGAAACAGCAAATTTCTGTCTGTTAATTGATAAATTTTCTGATTGCTGCAATGTCACAAACACTAAAGAGCACCTCAAAAATTGTAAAGTATTCTTAAAACCTTATACCGATTGTTCAGATGAAAGGTTTTACTGGTTAAAAAACGCTTTTCTAAAATATTTTGTAGACTGGAGGGAAAGCATAGAAAAAAGGCCAGAAAAATTTTCTCAAAAAGAACTCAATAAAATGTTCACTGAAACTCAGAAAAAACTGCCAAATTTAAGGAGTAATAATCAAAATCGATTTGAGTTTTTTTCGGAAGTTGAGTTTTTGTAACTTAAAGTTAAATCAAGGAAAACAGGTAGAGAATCAGTGAAATATCAGGGAAAAATCAGGGAAATTCATTTTAAAATATCGACAGACACCCTGTTATATGTATATTGTTTAAAATCATTCTTAAGTTAAATTTTGAATTTAAGAACACTTTCACTTTCTACGTCCTTAAAAATGCCTTTAGAATCACACATTGCTTAAACAGATATTAAATATAATCTTTTGTAATTAAAATTTGAAAAAATCAAATCTTGTGATGATTCTAAAGGTCTTCATAGCAAAATAAGAGTATAATGTATGGATCCCAAAGTATGTTAAAGTTTGTTTCAACTTCTGAAATTTTGTTTTTCATTTCTGTTTTGCTTTTACTGATATTGTTTATTAGATTAGATCATAAACTTTTAGAGCTGAAGTTTAATCCTCATACATTTATGGCATTGGCATTGAACATTACTCCACAACATTAATCACACTATTTCATTATTCTTCACAATTATTTCAGCAATTTCCTCATATATTCAACCCCTGACAAAGTTATGCATCAAAGATGCTTATCTTTGTTAGGGGTTTTTATTTTACAAAACTTGAATATGCAACTAATGAATTATCGTTAGAGAGAAACAAAGAAAAACTTACCATTTTTGCTAAAGACTTGCTAAAGACAACAGTTAAAAAAAAAAAATACTTTTTTTTCATTTTATTTATTTTTGTTAGGGGTTTAAATTAAGATAACTGCATGGCTCATTGCTTGGGAGGCCATGCTTAATCTATAAATGATTCAAGTTCTCTTTTAATTTGAATAATGTCAAAAGTAACCCAAAATATTAAATATAAAAAACTATCCCCACCACCTAAATGTTTTATTATATCTCTTACAAATATTCGTGGTCTGCAAAGCAAACTTCCATCAATTGAATCTTACCTGTTTTAAAATTCATCAGACTTGTTGTTCTTAATAAGACTAATTTAAGTTCTACTATTCCTTCTTCAAATTTCAGTGTTGATGGGTACTTTTCTTTGATTCACAAAAACTCCAATTGTTTTGAAGTATACATACGCATCAATTCATCTATTTGTTGTGAAATCAGGTTTGAATCCTATGACCATTCTTTTATGAGCTTCCACTTAACACCTCTTCACTCTATTACCTTTCTCTTTGCTCTTTGTTGTTCTCTTTTTTTCCAAGGCTGCACTCTTGCACAAGAGAGAGGACAGAAGTAATTTCTGATAAAATTACCATGTCCTCTCTCTTTACCACTCTGTTAATGTCATTGTTATTGGTGACTTTAATGCAATTCACACTAAATGGCTAGGCTCCAACGCCACTAACTCTGCTGGTACTAATGTCTATGCGTTTATATGCGTTTCTATTATTGTGCGTTTCTGCATTTCCTAATCTTTTACTAAATCATTTAGATAACTACTTAATCTTTTAGATAGATAACTAATAAGAGATAAATACTTAATCTCTTAGATAACTATTTTTGTGAATGTCATGTCTCTGATGCTAGCTTGTGTTCAGTTTCTCTATTTTCTCATTTAGGTTGTTCTGACAATGCAATGATCTCATTAAATCTTTTATTTTGTACTTCCTTTTTGAACCCTATTATTGCACTACTTACTACTACCCTAAAGCCGACTGGGATTCTTTTCGTGATTTTCTTTGCAACAGTCCTTTAGCTAATGTCTTTTCTCTCTCAGCTGAAAAATGCGCCTCCTACATAACCTCCTGGCTTCAGGCAGGAATGGAAGCTCTTATTCCTTCTTGCCAATCCTAAGTCAAGTTTCAACTCATTCTACTCTGTAGTCTTTACCTTTTGGTGCAGCTGCTATATTTTTGAAAGAAATCAATGTAAAAAAGTGTAATCTGATGCTAAATCCATTATTCTCAGTTCACTTATCTCAGAATTTAGGCTCTAAAGACTTTTATTATTCTATTTCATTCATAGGACTGATCTTATTACCCTGTAATGACTGATCTTATTACCTCTCTGAAAATAAGGCAGAATTGTTTGCAAAGAACTTTTCTTCTAATTCGGCTATTGAATCTTACGGCCATTCTCTTCCTTCCATTCCAATTAAACATGTTAACTGGTTGTTAAACATTCAAATCACTCCAAATTTATTTGCTAAACTCACATCTCACTTAAGCTCTTCTATGGCTTGTGATCTGGACAACATTTCTGTCACAGTCTTAAAACATTGTTCTCCAGAACTCTCTTCATTTCTCACTAAACTTTTTAATAAAAGAGTATTGTTTTCCTGCCTGCTGGAAAATGTTGTTTCAATTTTAAAAAAACTCTGGGTAACATTCTGATCCCTGGAATTATTGTCCAATTAGTCAGCTTTTTGTTATTAGTAAGGTCTTTGAGTCTTTGATCAACAAATTTCTCATATCTCATTATGATTTAAATAACTTACTGTCAGATAATCAATACTGTTTTAGATCTTGAATCTGATCTCACCTCTTTAATAGATTGGAGCTTGCAGTGACATGTAAATTTTACCCCAACAAAACTTAGTTATTTATTGCAAATAACTATTGCAATACTGTCGACATTCCTATATTAATGAATGGTAACCCTCTCACTGAGTCCACTTTATTATGTTTTCTTGGATTATTGTTTACTGCTGACCACACATGGAAACCATATATACAGTCGATTGATGATTTAGGATCTGCCAATTCGGCTCCTTTTTATTGTGCTTACAATTTTCTTACTCCTAGTTATATTTTCTACCTATACAAATCTCTTATTTGTCCTTTTATATAATACTATTTGGGCTGGTTTTTCTAATTTGTCATATTTGGGCTGGTTTTTCTAATGATATCCTTACTCCACCAGACAAAGTCCAAAAATACGTTATAAAAGTAGTTGAAGTCATCATTCAGCAAAGTCTTATTTGTTTACCATACCTTTCCCTGCTTGCTCTTAAAACTTTTATTTATCTAATTTTTTCCCTGCACTTAAACCCTTTGGAACTCTCTCCTATCTTCATGTTTTTTCATTTTGTTATATGACAATATTAACGTATTTTAAGAAATAGAAAAATTACACTACGATTATATTTTTTATATCTTTCATAATTAAAAAAAAAAAAAAAAAAGAAATTTTGGATTTTAACAAATCAAATAAAAATAGGTAATAAATTTTAAATTAATGACAGTAGAGTGGTTAAAAGTTTACTTTGAATTATTTCAAGAAAACCACAACATTAACGTGGTTAAATGTAATTTTCTTAAAATAATTTTAAATTAATTATAAATTGCTTAAATAGTTAACTACAGCTTAGCTGGTTTAACTTAAAAATTTTTTAATTTTATTTCAATAGTAATTATTAATTAAAATTTAATATTTTGAAATTTTAACGAAAAATTTTAAAAAAGTATTTTTTTAATTAAAGTTTTTTCTATAAAATTCAAGTTATAAATTTTTATTTAATCAAGTTATATAATTTCCATAAACACTCACAGAAGAGAAATTTATCAACTATTTAAACAAATAAGAGATCTTAAGATAGAAAATAATGCGATTTCTAAGTTATATGGGTTTTCTTAAATAAAGTTTAAAAGTTGTACAATTTAACAACAGTTGTACATTAAATGTGTGTTTGATAATTTATTAATTAAAACATTATATGCTTTATTTTTTTTAATTAAATAAAGTTAATATAGGTATTAAAATAAAGTTAAAATTAATTTTTTTTATAATCATTTGCCCACAAAAACTGAGATTTATGTGTTGCATGCAGGCAGGCATGGGTATATTTACGCACGCATAACTGATACAAAAATTAAATTTTAAATTTTAGATCCTCATCAAGCAATCCCTCCGTTGCTATGAATTTGGAAAAAGCTTCTATCAATTTAAACAAAATACTATTTAATTATAGGAAAGAAGTTGTTCCCATTTATGAAAGTAAGAAATTTACTACTGCATGATTTATTAAAGTTTAGGATTCTTATAAGTTTTTAATAGTAATTTTAATAAGTATTAATATAATTTTAACTGTGTTTGTGTTTTGTTTACAATATGTTGCAATTTCCTTAAACCCATACTTGTTCAATATTTTTCTAAAAAAAAATAAACCAAATGCAAACCTGAGAGTGGAAGTACAGGGTGTTTTCATGATATAAAGCTGGTTAGAAAACTGGTTAATATTAATTAATTTAACTCATGCATATAAAATTTAAATAAAAAAAAGCATAATAGTTTTTTAAAGAATGCTGTGATTTGGTATTGCTAATATTTCTGAGTCCACTCTTTCTGATAAAATAAATGAACAAAGGCTCCTTAAATACCACCAAAGCTCTTGGAATCCAATTTGCAGTATCTTATGAAGAGGTTTAAGTTTTTTCTTTTTATTTAATATGTTTATATTTGTTAATTATATAAATAATGGATGTTTTTAGAAATAGGTACTTTTTTATGATTTAATTTCGTTTTACATTTCTTATAGAAATAGTACTTATAAATTAAACATTCTAAAATCTGTGTTTTTCTAAGTGTTTGTTTTGAAGTCATCTTTAAAAATAAATTTCAAAATTTATTCCAACATTACTAATAATTTAGTTTTATAAATTTTGAAAAGTTTTGTCGTTTATTTTGTTTTATTTATCGTGTATAGTTTTTAAATTTGTTGTTTTGTGCCAAAAATTACTAAAAAAAGTAAGCTTACTAAAAAGGTAAAATAAGTCAGAAAAAGAATTTAAGTCTGGAATCTTGGGAATTTTGTATTTATCTTGTTATATGAATCTACATATCTTATTAAATAAAATTATATGTGTTCTGGTTCAAAAAAAAAAAAAATAAGTGGTTAAGAAAAATTGTGAAAGTTTGTGCTACTTAAAGTTACAGTTTTTAATGTAATAATAAATTGGTTTTAGAAGTGAAAATATTAAATATTATTGTGCTCTATTAAGAAAAGTTTATTTTTTTTCATCATTTGATTTCAAAATCCTACCAAAATTAAAAATTGGTTTAAAAGGTATCTGCAAATTGTTGTGTATTAATGTTTTTAAAGGCACAAATAATTACCATTACAGTTTACCATGTGGTTAAAAATAAAAACCTTTCTATATCCATGTATTGCATTTATAGTATAATATTTAACAAATGATTTTTGGAATTCTGTTCAATATTTATAGAGATAATTTTTTTATTCATTAGATAAACCAGTCAATGTAAGTATCAGTATGTATATAAACGACATGGTTCCCTTAGAAAATATTCCAAAGGTAAGTTATTTGTAAAAGTTAATTATATCAATATGTTAGTAATACCAGTTATTTTTTTTTAAGAAATGTTATTAAATAGTTTTTAATTAAAATTAAAAGTTACAGTTAAACTTTAAAAGGAATTAGTGCTTGACTTTAGTACTCCTCTAGCCTATGTGGAAAACTTTCTGAGGATATAAAAAAACTGGTATTTTGTTCATGTTGGCAATTCTCAACAAGTTAGGGCAGTGTTTATTCCCAACATAAACTCAAAAATAACACTCCTCTAGCTAAAACTAAATGAGTGTTAATTTTCTTGACTTAACTGTTGTGTCACTGCATAGCCTTAGGGAAATGAGTGACAAATAGTAAATAGTAATATTAAAATTGATATTTTGAGAAGTAGCTATAATATACTTTTAATATACTTTATAGTTATAGATTTAATATACTTTTAGCATTTTAGTGTTGACTTTACACTACGCATGATTTGGGAAGATAAAAGACTCGTGTTTGAAGATAATAGTCCAGAAGCATATGTTGCTTTTGATGCACAGGTCGCTTCACAAATTTGGATTCCAAATATTTATTTTCCTAAGGGAAAGAGGGGTGTAATGCATGACATTATTGCTAAAAATGTTTTCATACTTGTTTATAAAAATGGTACTGTGAAATACAGTCAAAGGTAAACATTGTTATATAGTTTTTAGTTGAGTTGAGAGATGTTAAATCAAAAGTTCAGCATGGAAGATAAGTAGTCAAGATTACAAGCATGGAAAATAAATAGTCAAGGTTGGCAGGTTGATTTCACTAGTTTTGCACACCAAGTGTTGATTTTTTTTCAGTAAAAGTGATTTTTTTTTTACTGAAAAGTCTTTTTATTTTCTTTTTAAACTTTTTTATTAAAGAATGTATCAATAAAGTTTTATTTATATGATTTAATTAAAAAAAAAAGAAGAATCATTATTTTTTTTTATTAAAATTTGTTTTTTTTTATTAAAATAAATACTATTAAAATTTATTTAAAGTTAGGAAAGTTAAGAACAAAAAAGTTCAGTGACTCATTAAATTTAAAATGTCATATGTTTATGTTTTTCATTGAACTTGATATGTCAGTTTTTTAAGTAATAGCATTTTTAAAGCAGTTATCTTATAACTTTTTCAAATTTATCATACCATAGTAAGTTATAATAAATTCGTTTACTAAAGAGTATATTAGGTATATTTTGTAAATTGTTTTTGTAAATTTGTATCTTGTTAAATATGTAGTTACGACAATCGATTTTTATAGTGTTTAATTATGCTATCAATTATTAAGCAAATTAGAAAGTATTTTAAAGAGAAAAACACAAATATAAGATTTTAGCTACTTTAATGTTTTGAATAACTTGAACTGTATTCTGTTAATACTCTAGAGATAAAGCATACACTATGTTTTATTGAATGACATTCTATTGGTGCTACTTTATTTTTCAATTTTTTTGGTTTTTTAAGATTAGCTTGTCAGCCTTGGCCAGAAAAAATTTCTTTTGGAAAGTCAAAATTTATTGATTCTAGTGTGTTAATCTATTTATGTTCCATACTGAAAGTTATGTACCAAAAAGATAAATCTTTTGACTTCTATCGTTTTTTTAGAACTATTTAAGAACATGATATAACTGACATAATTGCAAAATAACTAATAAATTTATTTTTAGTCATAAGATTTTGAAATGAAATTATATCCTTAGGCTGTCAGTCTTATCATTTTGTCCCATGAAGTTTCGACTATATCCTTTCGATATTCAAGACTGTTCATTTGAACTTGAGACATGTAAGTGTTGTTGATTTTTATTTGTAAATCAAACAATATGATTTAAAATATTTTCTCTAACTTTTTTGATGTCATAAATCATTAAATATTAAGTAAATAGTTTTGATTCATGTTATGTAAGTGCTGGTACCCTTGATTGGAGCTTTTTCATATATTTTCGGTTTTTTTTTACAATTCTGTGTAAAATTGGTAATTTTAGCAGCACAAGTATCATTTTTCTGTTAAAAAGGTGAGCTGGTGTATTTGCACACCTTTTGTATCACAACATCATGCTGACGAGCCCCAAAGGGCAAAACGTGTCCATGATTGTGATATTTATATATATATATATATATATATATATATATATATATATATATATATATATATATATATATATATATATAAATGTGTCTATGATTGTGATATATATATATATATATATATATATACATATATATATATATATATATATATATATATATATATATATATATATATATATATATATATATGTATATATATATATCTACATCACATATTTTATTATATATTATATATATTGTATTATACATTTTATACATTATATATAAATATATATATATATATATATATATATATATATATATATATATATATATATATATATATATATATTTATATGTATATATATATATATATATCTATATCACATATTTTATTATATATTATATATATTGTATTATATATTTTATACATTATATATATATATGTATATATATGTACATATATATATATTTATATATATATATATATATATATATATATATATATATATATATATATATATATATATATATATATATATATATGTACATATATATCTTATACTGCTGAGTTAGGTGAGCATGATGTCATATTCACCTAACGTCAAATAGCCTGCTGTTAAGGGCTTCAGTACATACATCGACTGACAAATAGCCTGACTCGCAGTGGAGTGCTGCTACATCGACTGAGGGTTTGGTATGGGTCAGCAACCTTTTCATTCATTATTCTTCGTTTTCCCTCATCGTTTTCTAAAAATGCTCACTTAATTTAGGCAAGCAAAAAAAGTGAGCAATTGCGCATATAAATATGCTATAGTAGATATATATATATATATATATATATATATATATATATATATATATATATATATATATATATATATATATATATATATATATATTATATATAATTATATTTAGATGAATAAAAACAACTGATTAGCGGGACTTAAAGTTTCATGCCCGAAGGCAATCATCAGCCGTTAATACACACAAAAAACGTAAACAAACCGTTACAAAAACGTAAAAATTACTGTAGAATGACATCTGACGTTATAAACAAATCTACGTAAAAAACAAATCAAAAAACAAAAAACAAAAAGCCGTTATAGTTTATTAGTCCCCTGTGTCAAATAAAGATAATAGGAACTTTTTTGAATGCCGACACTGAGATACGATTTCGTTTTTTTTATTTAGTAGATTTTTTCCATTATGCGATAAAATTACATATTTTTCGTAGAGACAAAGGTGGCATATTTTTGTTGCTAGATTGTAAGGTTTACAACGTTTGACAATTTTCCATTCTATAGTGGGCTTTATGTTTTGGTCTTTTAAACTCCATATTTCCTTAGATAGTTCTGTGTCATTTCTATATTTACTTGATGCAAATGATTTGAGATGGTTTGCATATCTTAGTTTAAATGGTGTATTACTAATGCCAAAATATACTTTTTTATTACGATCATGATGACTGGAACTTACGGTTGCTTGATAGACAATATTGTTAGATAAACATTGATTGTTCAAAGGGCAAAATGCTTTATCTACGCAGTTACATTGGTTGGTTTTTAATTGATTTTTGCTGTGTAAAAATTTTGGAATTATGCGAATTTATGATAGATTTTAGATTAGGCATGCAACTGTAGCTAATCTTAACAGAATTTCGGTTGAATATTTTCTGTAGTTTGTGACCGGCTGGAAAATGTAAGTCAATAAGGGCTAGAAAACGGTTTCCTATTTTTGTTTTGACATTTAAGCTGAACGGAGGGTTATACCAAATAATATTACGTTTACGTTGCTTTTTTTGTTGATTTTGACTTGAGATTATTTGTGGTTGGTAGGTAAGGTTCGATTTATATCCCGATTTTTTTAAAGCCTCTTCATACGGTGGAATAGCCTTTTTGAAGAAATTTTCATTAATTGACATGGAAGATAATCTTTGTTCGATATTGCGAGGGATTGCTTTTATTATGCTTGGAGGGTGGTTAGAATTAGAGTGGATGTACCTTATTTGATTATCAGGTTTAAAATATGGTTGAAACGTACCGTTACTTAGATTTAACGTAACATCGAGGTAGTTAACAATTTTTAAATTAGATTGAATGGTGATTTTGAATGGTGATTTATTAATAACGATCCAAGAATTAAAGACAATATCAATTATACAAACTACGGAATTAGATCTCATATATGTCCACCGCAAATAAAAGAAATGTCATTCTTCGAAAAAGACTTAATCAATCTTATTAAATCAATAAAGTTTCAAGACATACGCAACACTTTTCAAAATGGTATGAAAAAAGATATCAATAATATACGTAAATCTCACAAAACTCTAACACATGCTGACAAAACATCAAATATGTATAAACTGTCTAAAGATGATTACAATAATCTGTTAACAAATGCTATTACCACTACATACAAAAAAGCAAATCCAAAATTAAAGGACCATATAAACAAAGAAGGAAAACAAATTTTAACCAACCACGAGGTATATAAAAAATAGAAATAAACGGATCCTCTAACTGTTTTTTCACTTTGAAAGATCACAAGGAAAACTTCGCTAACAATCCATCTGTGCGCCTTTTGAACCCTTCAAAAAATGAGGTAGGACGAATTTCTAAGGTAATTTTAACAAAAATTAATTGTGAACTTAAAAATAAACTTTTTTTGAATCAATGGCAAAGTACGCAAAATGTTTTAGACTGGTTTAAAAAAATCACCAATAAGCACTTATACAAATTCCTAGTTTTTGATGTTAACGATTTTTATCCTTCCATAAAGGAAAGCACCCTCAACAATGCTATGAATTTTGCTGACCATCATATCGTTATCAAAAGCGAAGACAAAGCATTAATAATGCATGCAAGAAAATCTCTTATCTTCAACAACGATGAAGCATGGATTAAAAAAAGAGGTGGATTGTTCGATGTAACAATGGGGGCATTTGATGGTGCTGAAGTTTGCGAATTAATAGGTATTTTCATACTGTATCAAATTTCACAACATTATAATAAAGAAGATTTCGGCTTATATCGTGACGACGGTCTTGCTGTATTCAAGAACAAAAACGGTCAGCAAATGGAAAAAATCAAAAAGCACATAACACTCATTTTTAAAAAAAAGATCTTCAAATCACCATTCAATCTAATTTAAAAATTGTTAACTACCTCGATGTTACGTTAAATCTAAGTAACGGTACGTTTCAACCATATTTTAAACCTGATAATCAAATAAGGTACATCCACTCTAATTCTAACCACCCTCCAAGCATAATAAAAGCAATCCCTCGCAATATCGAACAAAGATTATCTTCCATGTCAATTAATGAAAATTTCTTCAAAAAGGCTATTCCACCGTATGAAGAGGCTTTAAAAAAATCGGGATATAAATCGAACCTTACCTACCAACCACAAATAATCTCAAGTCAAAATCAACAAAAAAAGCAACGTAAACGTAATATTATTTGGTATAACCCTCCGTTCAGCTTAAATGTCAAAACAAAAATAGGAAACTGTTTTCTAGCCCTTATTGACTTACATTTTCCAGCCGGTCACAAACTACAGAAAATATTCAACCGAAATTCTGTTAAGATTAGCTACAGTTGCATGCCTAATCTAAAATCTATCATAAATTCGCATAATTCCAAAATTTTTACACAGCAAAAATCAATTAAAAACCAACCAATGTAACTGCGTAGATAAAGCATTTTGCCCTTTGAACAATCAATGTTTATCTAACAATATTGTCTATCAAGCAACCGTAAGTTCCAGTCATCATGATCGTAATAAAAAAGTATATTTTGGCATTAGTAATACACCATTTAAACTAAGATACGCAAACCATCTCAAATCATTTGCATCAAGTAAATATAGAAATGACACAGAACTATCTAAGGAAATATGGAGTTTAAAAGACCAAAACATAAAGCCCACTATAGAATGGAAAATTGTCAAACGTTGTAAACCTTACAATCTAGCAACAAAAATATGCCACCTTTGTCTCTACGAAAAATATGTAATTTTATCGCATAATGGAAAAAATCTACTAAATAAAAAAAACGAAATCGTATCTCAGTGTCGGCATTCAAAAAAGTTCCTATTATCTTTATTTGACACAGGGGACTAATAAACTATAACGGCTTTTTGTTTTTTGTTTTTTGATTTGTTTTTTACGTAGATTTGTTTATAACGTCAGATGTCATTCTACAGTAATTTTTACGTTTTTGTAACGGTTTGTTTACGTTTTTTGTTTGTATTAACGGCTGATGATTGCCTTCGGGCATGAAACTTTAAGTCCCGCTAATCAGTTGTTTTTATTCATCTAAATATAATTATATATAGCTCTATTATTCAGTAATATTGAGCACTGTAACACGTACAAGAGACTTCGTATTATTACATCAAAATACTTAACCTCGAATATATTCTATATATCGGGATATAAATCTATACAAATATATATATATATATATATATATATATATATATATATATATATATATATATATATTTATATATATATATATATATATAAATATGTATATATATATATATATATATATATATATAAATATAATGATATACTAATATATATACTGTGATATATGTATATATATATATATATATATATATATATATATCATATATTTTATTATATATTATATATATTGTATTATATATTTTATACATGATATTTATATATATATATATATATATATATATATATATATATATATATATATATATATATATATATATATTAGGGCTGTTCATGTGAACACAGGAAAAAAAAAATTTTCTCGGATTTGAATGCATAGTTGTTTATTTTGTGCCATTTGACATAGTAATTGACTGTGTAAAAAATCTTTCTAATCAGATAATGTTTAGGGGGTGCTCAATGACCATAAAGTTTTACGAAAAACGTCAAAAACATGGAAAAAGTTCCAAAGTTCCAAAAATTTCTAGAACCTGGTTAGTTAGATTTTTTCCACTGAAATATTGTCTGATTGCGTGCTATATAGATTAATTAAAGTGCAGCAGATTAACTGTCATCAGGGCACCAGACTAAAAAATGTCTGCTAGTCTTTAAAACAACTGTGTTTATATCATTTTGTTAAAATTTGTATTCATAATTTTAATACTATTATTTAACTCAATTTAGAATTTGTTCAAACAGAATAAAAAGGTTTACAAGTATAAATATTATTTTTATTTGGAATTTCAGTTTGACAACAAATGTATTAATATTTTGATAGTACCTAACCTTAGTAACCTATTACAGAAAACTAGCATGGTAGTCTGGTAGTGTATTGTTTGTTATTAAGTGCAGATAATAATAATTTCTAATTTGAAAGTATTTATTTAATTTCTTTAGTAATAATTATTATTATATATTGCTGCAGCTGCATAAACCAACAACTGAATGATAAGTTTGTATAATATGGTATTGAGTTTTGATTTTCTCATAATTTTTCAGTTATCATTGAAATGGCAGCATCATCTCGTGTTGCTATCTCTACACGACTTCAAACCGAAATCTATTTAATTGGACAACCAGAGCCAAATCTTCCAGATAAAGTTCTTCCCTTAACATCTGATGTTTTAAAAACATTTTTTTATCATCTTAATTCAACCAAAAAGTCAGTGCCTGAAAGTCTTAAAACAACTGTTGATGAACTGATTATTATTTGGAATAAAGCCCGTATTCCGACAGCATTTCATCCGAATGTAGTCTTAAAGTTGAAAACTTTAGTCCAGGAATTTAAATTAATAAAAAAAAAAAAATCCAGATTGTCAGATTCTCAGAAATCAAGAGAGAAATCATTTACAGACACCATTGGCCTACTTTTTGACATTGCCCACAAGGATGCTGAAACCATGATCAGAATTGAAGAAGATAAAGAATTTTTATTGGATCAGAGATGTCAGAGAAAAATGGTGATGTTTGGAGAGGACAAAGAACTTTCAAAATTAGAAGCAAGAAATGAAGCAAGGAAACAAGCAGAGAGAGAACGAAAGCTAAAAGAAGTGCGAGTGCAATATAATCTGAAATGCAGAGGTTAATTCAGGTGGTTGAGGATCACAGAAAGCGAGTGCCAGATGCCAGAAAGTGTACTCTGAAGAGTTATAGTCCTCGCTAGCATTAACATTGCACGAACTATAACATTACGATAATTAAATGTTAATTGTTCATATGTTTTTGAGTTGACCTACTTAGTAGTTGATAACGGTTTGAGAAACTGTTACTCCTTTACAATAATTTTTTTTGTTTATAATTCGTATTTTATTCAATGACAAAGAGTCAAAAATCTTAGTGTTTTATTTTGGAAAAATTCTGATATAACAAAAACAGCAGAACTTTAGTCGTATTGCAGTATTTTATTTCATTAATTTCTCTGCTAATAAACCAGTATAAAGTGGATGTGGATTGTAATTTGTATTCAGAATTAAATATTTAGAGATAATTAAAACTGATCAAATCTGAAAAATCTAATTAACCGGGTTTTAGAAATTTGTGGAGCTTTGTTACTTTTTCCATGTTTTTCACTTTTTTCGTAAAACTTTATGGTCATTGAGCACCCTCTAAACATTATCTGATCGAAAAGATTTTTTGCGCAGTTAATTAATATGTCAAATGGCACAAAATAAACAACTATGCAATCAAATCTGAAAAAAAAATTTTTTTTGGACAGCTCTAATATATATATATATATATATATATATATATATATATATATATATATATATATATATATATATATATATATATATATATATATATATATATATATATATGTATATATATATATATATATATATATATATATATATATATATACATATATATATATATATATATATACATATATATATATATATATATATATATATATATATTATATATATATATATATATATATATATATATATATATATATACATATACATTAGGGTGTTCCAAAAAACAATATTTTTGAAAATAATCTGCTCTTACCCTCTAAATATGTTATATCTAATGCAAAAACACTAGGTTTAAATTTTTTTTGAATAAAAAATATTTTAAGGGGTCCCTCAAGACCCTCGAATATTTAATGGGTCCCTAATATTTTCGAAAAAAAAGTTTTTCAAAAATATGTCAACCTGGTACTCAAATGAAGCGAAATTTTATAAAAATTTTAAAAGTAGTATTAATTTCAAAACAAAATTGTTATTTTTTGTTTTATTACATAAAAAATTGAGCTTTTTAAGAAAAAATGAAAAAAATGCATTTCTATTGTTTTTTAATGATAATTTTGATAAATTAGTTAAAAATATTTTGAAATGAATATTATTTTCGAAATATTTATATAATTTCGCTTCATTTAAGTACCAGGTTGATATATTTTTGAAAAACTTTTTTTTCAAAAATATTAGAGCCCATTAAATATTCAAGGGTCTTGAGGGACCCCTTAAAATATTTTTTATTCAAAAAAATTTAAACCTAGTGTTTTTGTATTAAATAGAACACATTATTTATATATATATATATATATATATATATATATATATATATATATATATATATGTATGTATATATATATATATATATATATATATATATATATATATATATATATATATATATATATATATATATATATACATATATATATAAATATATATATATATATATATATGTAAATATATATATAAATATATATATATATATATATATATATATATATATATTTATATATATATATATATATATATATATATATATATATATATATATATATATATATATATATATATATATATACTTTTTGAGATAATTTAATTTAAATTAGTTGCACAGTCAGAGTTGTATGTTAACTTAAAATGGATGGACAAACCTATAGATCGAAAAACTGATTTAAATGTTCCTGATTACAGCAATGTGAAAATAAGAACAAACAGCTCAACTCGTTTAGGAGATTTTGGTTGTATGTTATTTTTATTTATTTCTTTTTTTTTAATAAAACCTTTCGTAATTTTATGAAATTTTTTTTGAATTAATAAATAATATTTAACAATTTAAAAAAATTATTTTGAAATTAGAGAATTTTATGTCTAAATTTTATAATTAGTTTAGCATTTTAGTTTGAATTTTTTTTGACTCATGGTTAAGATTCTGATATTTAGATTTTTACTTTTTTCCTTAGTGAATTTTACCACATTAGAAGTTAAGTTCACTTTGCATCGCGATTTTACTTTGCACTTCCTACGAGATTTTTTTCCCTGTATTCTCACCGTCATGTTAAGCTGGGTTTCCTTTTATTTGAGCTATAAATCAACACCTGCTAGGTCAACATTTGGTGAGTTTTTTTTTTATATTTGATTAGTTTTTTTTTTTTAATTAAAAATTATAAGTAATAAAAATGTAAGGGTCTGTAAGGGTCTTTCCTAACTTTAATTTTAAACCTATTGAACTTTTAAATTCACTGGAACCAAAGTTGTGTTTCTATAAGTAGATGGTATTTGTCCTAGTTTATTAAAAAATGTATTACCTATTCAAAAAATGTATTAGTTTTTTTTTTAATTAAAAATTATAAGTAATAAAAATGTAAGGGTCTGTAAGGGTCTTTCCTAACTTTAATTTTAAACCTATTGAACTTTTAAATTCACTGGAACCAAAGTTGTGTTTCTATAAGTAGATGGTATTTGTCCTAGTTTATTAAAAAATGTATTACCTAATCAAAAAATGTATACAAAGTAAAAAAACGAACTACCTAATAAAATCAATGTTATTTTTTAGCCAAATAAATTTTAAGTCATTATTTTAAGTCTCCTTATTTTATTGCAAAGAACCTTAACATTAAGTTTTTGTTTTATGTAAAGATTCTTTGCCAATTTTATGTATTAAATTTATGTTAAGGTCTGATAAACTTATTTTACGCATTTTTAGAAAGCCATCAAGCCTAGTTAAAAAAAGTTATGATGTATGTGTTTTGCATACGAAAACTCTTATTTTGTACATATAATAGCACGGATCATTTTAAAACTTTTTACATTAAATGCTTAGACCATATGTATTAAATATGTTAGCCCCTATATGTTGAAAAAAAAAGGTTTAGGTTTTCAATGTTTGACCTCATAAACCATAGTTTTTAATAAAAAAAGGTGGTATACCCATTTTGTCATAAACTTTGACTGATTAATTCAATCGACTTCAAAAAATGTTTAGTTAAATTCTTGATTCTAAATAAAAATTAGTCGCATAAAGAGTCATTTTAGCTTAAAAACTTAGAATTTTAAATTATTACAAAGATCGGTAATTTTTGCTATATTTTGCTGTAATATCTTACGTTGTTAGAAAAAGATTTTTTGGTTCGAAGTTGCTAACTAAATTTTATAACATGTTTTTCAAGTTTTAAGAAATGTTATAAAATACGGTCTGCTTCTAAGTATAGATAAAAACTAAAAAACAAATGCAAAACTTTAAGATACATTAAAATAAGTTTTTAAAGTGAAAACACAAATGTTAAAAACAAATCCTGAAATTCCCATAGTGATGTACAAAGGCGATATAACTAAAATAATTATGGAAAAAAGCTTCATATTATTGTTAACTTCATGTTTAACTTTGAGATCATTTATAAGTTAAACTTTATTCTAGACAAGCTGTTTGATACAGCGAAAACCAAATTTAGAAAGCTTTAAAATGGACTGATACATTTTAAAAATGTACCGAATATCTTTATTCCACCACAAAAAACTTTGTTTCAAAGTTTATCATTCATTTCCTGCTTGCATCTGTGCTTTTGATACAACTGTTGTTTGTTATAAATACTTATTTAAGGTTAAAGTAAAGTGAGGGGAAATAATTAACAAATCTAAAATGTTATTTTTAAATAGGGTAGACGATAGCAAGTTGGCTATTGGGACATGTTTGCCCAGTGGAGTTTATTCAAAGACTATACGCTATTAGCTAGCTGGTAGTCTAGGTGATGGTTGGTAGTAATTCAACCCTCTTTCCAAAAAAAAATTATGTTTATTGGATTATAGTTAAAAGTGTGGGGCCATTTTAACAATTTTTGATACATCATGGTAAAATTAATTATTTGCTTGATGTTAATATGCTCGCTGGTGTTTGACAGTAATGTATAATCCAAATTCTAAAAAATTTATAGTTTAAGAAAAATTTTAATATATGAGACTAATTTGGGTTTAGCTATCTTATCTTTTAATCTCAGTGTTGATGGTCATTTTCCTTTAGTTCGTAAAGACTCCAATAGTCACATGCTTGGACTTGGCATTTACATTCATAAGAATTCACCCATTTGTTGGAAAACTAGATTTGAATCAATTCTATTGAAAAAATTCTGTTTAAATCTATTCTTGTATGTGCTTTCATTTAGCACCACTTTATTCTTCAACTTTTCTATTTTCAATCTCTCAATCAAAACATAAATAGTCAACTTTCCAATTCGCTTTCCAAACAATTCGAGTCATTTAATTCTCTACTTGACTTGTTTCTAATCCTAGTAATTGCTCAGTTTCTCCATATTTACTTTTAGGTGCTTCTGATCTTAGTTTGATCCCTCTAAAGCTATTATATCATTCTTCTACATCATCAGAATCCCCCTATCATCATGCTTATATAACTACCTAAAAGTTGACTGGGGCTCTTTGTGTGTTTTAATTTTTGATGACCTTTAGGTAGAAATCTTTTGTCTTCCTGCTGACAAATGTGCTTTTTATGTAACTTTTTGAGTTCAGACTAGCACAGAATCCTTTATTTCCTCTCAATGCTTTTAAATCAAGCCTCATCTTTCTCCATGGTTTTCCTTAATTGTGCTGCTGCATTTTCCAATTGTAATCATTACTTCCATATCTATCACCTAAACATTTCTCCAGAAAACAGATGTTTATTTACTATTGCTAGAAAACATTGTAAAAAGGTTTTGTCTAATGCCTAAACCTGCTATTCTTAGGTGACAAAATCTTTTCTAATTTCTGACTTCTGGAGAATTGTTAACAGTGTCTATAATAAAGGGAAAGTTGTTATTCTACTTATTTTGCATTTTGTTACCTATTTTGTTCAGATTTTTTTACCTCACTTTAAGACAAAACTGATTTGTTTTCTAAGAACTTTTCATTAATTCTCATTTCTTGATTCCTCTAAGTTGATCCATTTCTTAGTATTTCTATCACTCCAGCTTTTTTATCTATAGTGATTTCCAGGTTAGACTCTACTACAACTTGTGGTCTGAAAAACCTTCATGTTATAGTCTTGCAGAAGTTTTCTCTGGAGTTGTCGTCTATTCTTTCAAAACTATTTAATAAGCACTTACCAGAGTCTTGTTTTCAAGCCTGCTGGAATGCAACAATTATTATCCCTATTTTTAAAAACTCTCAAAAGCAATCTGACTTGTCTACAATCCTCTTAGTCTACTTCTTTTCATGAGCAAGGGTTTTGAGTCTTTAGTTAACTAACACTTATTCTCTCATCTTGAATTTAGTAACTTACTTTCAGGTCATCAATATGAATTTCAATCTTCTTGTTCTACTGCTGATTTGTTAATGGTAAAAACCAATGTGGAGAGGTTAGGGCTTCAATAAAGTTTAGCATGCTGGTCTTCTCCATAAACTCTCTTCTTACAGTGCATCAGGTAACATATTTAAGATTTGTGATCAACCGAAATTCTGTTTCGGTATCAGTTTCGACCGAAATTTTAATTTAAAAGAAACCAAAATTTCAGTTTCGGTACTTTTTATAAATTCTGTAAAGAGCAAAATTTCAAAATTTTTTAAAAAATAATCATACTATTTTAAGAATTTTTACAAAAAATTTGAGAATTTTCACAAAATACCTTAAAAAAATTTTGTTTTGCAGGGAAAATCTGCCAGTTGTTAACTTTTGCTGTTAACACATATCGCTAACTTATGTATTAAATTTCAATTTGTGATTTCAATTCAAAGCGTATAATCAATTCTAACATAATACAAGTATAATAAAACAACAAATGTAAAATTGCATTTTTAAATAAATGTCAGTATTGGTTTTGGTAAAATATTTGCAGAAATATTGGTTTTGGTTTCAGCATCAAACTAGAGTTCATGATATTCTGGTTTATTTTGGTTTATTTTGGTTTTAGCTTTTTTTCTGTTTCGGTTGATCCCCACTTAAGATTATTGAATCCTTTCTTACTAATCACAATATAAAAGTTATTCTCGATGGAAAGTTAAAGTTATCCTCGATGGAAAGAACTGTTCTTCATTTTTATATAATTTCAGGAGTTTCTTAAGGTCTTATTCGTGGCCCCATACTTTTTTTCAATTGTTTGCTGATAATACTACCATTTATTCTTGGCTTGATAAGAAACCTTCACTCTGACTGCTTGGAGGGGGGCATTTGAGCGTGAAAAGGATCTCACTTCTGCTACAGCACAGGGTTCTTAGTGGCTGGTAAACTTTATTTCAGATTAAACTTTTTTCAGCTAATCATTATCGCAATTGTCTAGATCTTCTTTCATTTATGAATGGTAATGTATTCAATAAGTCATCTATCGTTTGTCTTTTAGGACTAACTCTTATTGCCCAACATTCTTAGATTCATATATCAAATCCATTTCAAAATTAGCCTCTTCCAAGGCTGCTTGCCACTTTCTAACTCTATTCTTTATCTCTATAAATCTCTAATCTGCCCTTGTATGGAATACTGTTGCCATACTTTTGTCTAATTCAATGCTTTTTACTCAAATTCAAACTTTCTCGGAAATTGCTTTCTTTATCTTGTTTTCCTGATTTATTTTTCTGATAGTTTGATATACTAAATATATTAAAATATATATTACTGATAATGCAACTGTTAATGCTGACTAAAACTGATAATGCAACTGATAATGTTACTGTTAATTTATCTGTTAATCTTTATTTTGCTTCATAAGCTTCATCTTTTCTCTTCCTGTAACTTCCAACTCTAATACTTTAAATTATATTGGTTAAAAATTTTAAGAATAAAAAGCAGTACGTTGGGGCAGGTTGGTCTAATGCCAATGGGATTTGTTGGCCATATGTTAAAACCAATCCTTTACAATTTTTTTTTATTATATAGCTTGTTTTCATTTCCATTAATGATATTTTGTTTTAAAATGGTTTCAAAATAGATAACAACCTCGAGGTAAATAATATATATATATATATATATATATATATATATATATATATATATATATATATATATTTATATATATATATATATATATATATATATCGTTCATCTTTTTAAGGAGAAACTTAATAACATCGTTCATCTTTTTATGGAGAAATTTAATCTAAAACTTACTATCAAAACCAACTTAAAAATTGTAAA